ACTTTGTAGCTTTTGCGATTTCATAGCTGGTAAATATACCCCAAAACCCCAAAACCCCTCAAGGCAATTACAGCAGATTTAGGTGAAAAGTAATAATGAAAATTTAGTTTTTCAATCATTCTTTATGAAAAAGTTTTCTAACACTATAGTTTGCCGCTCAAGCCCAATTCTAGAAAATGACTTTCATAAAGACCCCATTCATATTCAGTCCTGTATTGAGTCTCCCACTGTCAAAGATAGAAGAAACCTGTCCCCAATCTTAAAGTCCATCAAGGACAAAATCTACAATGAGACTTTACTGTTACAATCAGAGATTAGGACGAGTTCAACATCAATACTAGACATTCCTTCGATTTATATTAGAAAACTAAAACTTGAGTGTAATTGTTGCCAGAAAATGAAGTTCAAAGGATTCTTGAAGAAATGCTTTACTTGCTGCGAGAAAGTATGCATCAAGTGCATTAAGTAGGGTGACTGCAGCAGATGTAGAGCACTAGATTAAAACAGCTAAATATTTGAGTTGCTTGTTAAAAACGAAGTTTAAAATATTAAAACGAAAGATTAACTGATAAAATCCAAACAGGAAAGAAATCAACTGATAGAGAGAATATCTCTATAGATGCTATAGAATGATCAGGTCGACAGAGAAATACACTGTTTGGAGTAGCAAATATTGCGCAATAAGATAGACAGAGACATGGTTAAGGATGAAATAATGTCCTTGACTTTTGAAATTGAAGAGTAGCTTTAGCTATTTAAAAATAATAGGCGAAAACCCTTAGCTCATCCAGTGATAAAGCAAATATTCCACAAGTATGAAGAACAGAGAAGACTTAGGGAAGAGGAGTAATATCTATACCAAATGCGCTGCAAAAAAATAATGTAAATAATTCAGAGGGAAGCCCCTTATTCAATTAGGGAACTAGATCAAGAGGCTGCTTCATCATTTAATACTCGGAGTAACTTTGACAGCCCTTTAAAGCTACTTTAATGATAGTTTTTATTTGTGCCTTCAGTCTAATACATTTACATTAATTTCAATTTTAATTAAATTAATAATATTTGAATTTAAAATGAAACGAGATTAGTAAGTTTTCCTCCTTGTCAGATTTTTTCATAACTCAATGCTTTGATTTTAATTTCACTAGCCTAACCAACTTGTTTTAGCGATTACCTTTTCAAGCTTGTACTTATCGGCGATACTTGTGTTGGTAAATCCTCCCTCTTGGTTAGATTCGCTGTAAATCATTCAACAAATTTAAGTGAGATATATAGGATGACTGCTTTTCAGAGAATTATATTACTACCATTGGAGTTGATTTCGTAAGAATAGTTTAGCGTCTAAAATTATATTAGAGATTCAGAACACTTTAGATCAATAAGAGCACAATTAAACTGCAAATCGTAAGTAACTGAAGCCTAAATTAATTAATGTCAAATAAATGAATAATGGTTGTTAATTTTATAATAAAGTGGGACACTGCTGGACAAGAGAGATATAGAACAATTACCAATGCTTATTACAAGGGTGCAGATGGAATTATTATTGTCTTTGATATTTGCAACAAAGTAAGTCAATTTTAAAGAAGGATAAGATTACATTATTATTACAAAACTTGGAGAACTAATTCTAGTATAGGAATCTTTCTTAAACGTTGCCTCATGGATGAAGGAAGTTGAAAAGCACTCAGGAGAAGATGTGACAGTAATGGTTCTAGCAAACAAAGCTGATTGTCCTCAGGAAGACATTGAGGTGTTTGACATTGACATCAAGAAATTCGAGGAGGAGAACAAGCTAAAGGTAATGAAAGTCTCAGCCAAGACTGGTCTTAACGTAGATGAGTCCTTCCTTGAGATGACCAAGAGACTCATAGTCAAGAAGAACAATAGCTCTTAGGAAGATAAGAAGAAGACTCTAGGCTTAAAGAAACTTAAGGAGGCCATAGACGGATCAGAACAAAAGAGTTCACCCATGACTTGCTGCTCCAATTGATTTATAAGAGCTATAGATTTGATATGCAATCATATTCTTTAACAAGTCGGAATGGCAAAATAATGAATTACTTAATCATTGATATATTTGTTAATTATATGATTAAAATTAGCTATAAATCAAATTAGAAATACATCTGATTTTTGGTTGTTACTGATTCAAATTTAAATTAATATTTTACTAAAAATTAAGAAAATGAGCAATTACTACGATCAAGCAGCAGACAAGCTGAGAAGTGATATACATTTGAACAGACTAGACATGATTGAAAGAGATAAAAAGCATGAAGACTACGAAGATTAGCTACTTTAGTACAAAAAAGATGTCATGAATCTCTCAGTCTACAGTAAGTAAACCTCTTTAAATTAATTGATATATTAGTTCAATAACTGCACAATCAATTGAATAGATATGCACAGATAAATCCAGGGGCAGATCATTCACAGCTAGATGAGTTATAGCAATAGCTCTAGAATAATGTATAAATCTCTGAGGGTGAGAAAGACCAAATTATTGAAATGGCTCAGCTAATGAACAGTTCTACTCTCATTAAGTCTTATGAAAATATCATGATGCAGTATGAATAGGACTTGGACAAGAAAAACAATCAAATCAAAGAAATGGAAAGGGATATATAACAGATTCAATACGAGAACCAAAATCTTGCCTCTCAACTCTATAATCTGAAGGTAAATCTTACTGCTACAGGAAAGGATAATTTCTAAGATGGTTTATATAAAGATAGCAGTGTAGGAAGGGATGAGAAGGAAAGACTTGTGGAACTTCTAAAGAGAAATCATGACATCGTCCTTGAAAAGTATGAGCTACAAAAATAAAGAAATGATACCCTAGAGAAGACAGCTATTGAAAAGGAAAAACTATACAATGAGATCAAGATTGAGAATGATCAGTTGGCGAATCAAAGTTATAAACTTCAAAGAAGTACTGAGGATCTTATTAATGAGAAGAAAATATTAGAAACTAAACTTAAGAATATTGACAACAATCTCAGAAGTCAGACTGATGATGCTAGACAACTTAGATTAAGTAATTAGCAATTCGAAAGCAAAATAAAGCTTTTGAGTGAGGAGTATGATAACCTTTAGAAGTCCTTCGAGGAACTATCAATCAAGAAGTAGTCAGAGGTAGAAATACTTAGCAAGGAAATCAATTCGTTGGTCGTTCTTGATAAAGACTCAAAGCAAAGACTTTACGTTCAGGATAAGGATATAGGGGAACTTAGAGATCATATCAGACTTATTTCTTAGGAATTAGACTCTAGAACTAGGGAAAACTAGCATTTGGTATAATTACTTGAGGATTAGGAGTAAAAGATTGCATTATATGAACAGAAAGAAAAATCAATTCAGTAATTAGCTGCAGAAAGTAAGAAAAGAATTGAAGAAGCCAATTCTGAAAGAGATAGAGTGCTTTTGAAAGAGTAGTAGTATTTAAGATAGATTACAAGGCTAGAAGAAAGAATCAAAACAGAGGGATAAGAAAAATAAGAAAGGCATGAAAAGATAATTGAAAGTCTCAGGTTAAAGTAAAAGAATATGCTTGACCAGAAAGATGATGAAATCAGTGATCTAAGGCTAAAGCTTTCAGATGCCAAGGAGTCTTCTGATAGATATAGAGTCGAAAAGGAAAGTTTGAGAAATGAGCTAGACAAGCTTTAAGATCAAATAAGGACCTTAAAAGACGAATCATCCATTAGATATGAAACCTATAGCAAGTAGATTAATTAGTCAGAGTTACTAAATGAAGATAAAATGAGATAACTATCCAGAGATAATGAGAGATTTAAAGAGGAAAATGAGACAATGAAAAGAAATCAATAGCAGACTCAAATTTTATTGCATGAGTAGGAGATAAAATTGGACGGAAACATGAGGGATTACGAGAGATATTTTGAAGAGAATAAAAGAATGAGAGAGATGATCAACAGTCTAAGAGAGGAAAAGGATAACGCCTACAATGAAGTAAAGCGATTAAAGAATATCTACCATGATAGAGTAAATGAACTCAATGATGAATGTAATCTAAAAATAGCTCATCTAGAAAATCAGCTACTTGAAGCCAAAGAGAAGCATAAATTCCATGAGGAAAAAGGATTTGAGATTATGATGATGCAGGAAAGGATTTCAGATAAACTAAAAAATGAGCATAGATTGACTGTGGAATAATTTGAAAGAGTAATGAAAGCCTTAAAAACAGACAATAGACATTTACAAGATAAGTAAGTATTATTTTAGCTTTATTGTAAATTTTAGAGTTATTGAGCTTAAAGGATAGCTGAAACTTGAGAAGGAAAATAATGATGATAACTTATATGAGAAAATGAAAAAATCTGTCAAAAAATCTAGCTCTAAATCTAAGGACCGTGAAAAGGAAAAATCTAAAACCAATAATAAGTGACTATAAATTGACAATTCTAGCTTCCAATAATTTTGATTTTTAAATTACTTAATTTCTATCATTTCATTAAATAATCTATGTCTGGGGTTTTGGGGTTTTGGGGTTTTGGGG